CTCCTGCCGCCCGGCCCGTGCTGCCTGCATGCGGGGCGGCCCGGGCCCCGCCGCCTCGCCTCGCCGCCGCCTCCTCGCCCATGTATAACTTCATGGGGCTGAACGGCACCGCCGGCATCGCCCTGCAGCCCAATGTGTCCTGCACGTGCAACTGCAAGCGCTCTTTGTTCCAGAGCATGGAGATCAGTGAGTGGGGCCGGGGGGTGCGCGTGTGCGAGTGTGTGTAAGTGTGAGTGTGAGGGGGGGCGGCTATAAATAGCCCTGGCCGAGCACGGCGGGGCTCAGCTAGTGCAGGGGCCCTGCCACAGCCTCTCCTCAAGGGCCAGAGCAAGGAGATTTGGGGCACTAGACACCCTCTTCCTCCTCCTCCTCCCTAATCCGCACCTGGAGGCACCGGTTCGCAGTCGGAGTCGCCGTCCGCCGCGGGTGTCTTTTGGAGGAAAGTTTTGTGCGAGATCCAAAAGTCACGCGTGGCCGGCGAGAAGGCGAGTGGGGCTCTCCCGGCGCCCCAAATCGCAGTAAAGTTGTAGCCGGTCGCTCCCCGTCTGTCAGACTGCCGCGAGGAGCGAAGAAAGCCGTCGCTGTTAAGCGGCTTGTCCGGTCTGTGCACGTCCTGATCTTTAATCTGTTGCTGTTTGGGATTCAGCATCTTTGTGTCGGAGCATCCTGGCACGAGCAGGGACGACCGCGCTGCGTCCGCGGGCGAGGGACCTGCCGGGCTCAGAAATCGCTTTCGCCCGACCCCGTGCAGAGTTGTGAGGGGTTTATATCATGAGGGTTATCCTCGCCCCTCTTGTTTCCTTCAGCGTATGTAACATTTCCTTTTCAGCATATGTAAAATTTCCTTTTCCAGTTCATCTTTTTTTTTTTCTTTTTTTTTTTTATATCGTCCCTTCCCCTCAGCTAATCAGCTGTAATGATGTTTTGGCTGACACCGAGGCAGTCTTGTTAATTTAGTTGTCTGCTCTAACTGTCTGCTCTTCCAAATAGACTACGTTTCTCACTTCAGCTGAAGTGATGCTCAGGAGATTTTGACCCATAAGGTTAGCACTGTTAACACTTTGAGCCTTGCTTTTAGGTATCTTAATTAACCGCTCCATTTCAATGATACGCCTTCAATTATTGGAGGGCTGGAGGCAAAAGTGGAGCAAATATTTTGAAAACTCGTTATAATTTAAAAAAAAAATTATTTTAAACTGTAAACATGGAAAATCAGTGAGAGCATTGTCTGACCCAAATAGCCTGTACTTCTGCGTGGGATCACCCTAACAAACTACCTAGAAATGGAAACGGAGTTTTCTTTTTAAGGGAAGTCATTTGGCTTCCCTGGCTATTTTTAAAAATGCATTGCCTGGGCCTGATTATTTTCAAAGCGTCTCAGCCTGTGTGGCTTTTCTGCAGCCAGAGGGCTCATTTCTACTTGGGTCGACATCCAGTACCACGCAGCGCAGTCATAACCTCTGTGTGCTAGTGCGTTTGGCGCAAAGTGGAGACTTGGGCATAATCTTGCTGTTGTTAACACCCCAATATGGCAAATTCATTCCTGATGTAAGCATGTGAAAGTCAGTTGAACCCTATTTAATGCCACCGATTCCCATTGACACCTTAGGATTGGGTCTGTTGTTTGGGGCTGCAGAGCTGTGTTTTAGGGCAACTCTGGTCTTTAGCATTTCGGATAGTCAAAGCCTTGAGTCCTCTGCCATCAACTATGCCAGCCATATTTTGGGTTGATTTGGTTATATATAGATTTTGGAAAAAATCTATAGGCATTCATAGAATGGGTACTAAAACGTGTTCAACCTGAATTGTAAAATAAACCATAGCCTTTGTACTGTATGCACTTTTAATCCTGATTTAATCTCATTCGTGTTCAGACAAAGCTAAGCTGGATTTGCCTGATTTTATTAACACTACCAGTACTGAATAGACCATTATTCTTTCTTGACTTTAACAGGCCATGCTAGATAGGAATACCAATAGAACTCTACAGATTAAAAGATACAGATTTCTTTTTTTATGCCAGTCAGGGAGTGAATGTAAACGAGTCTGTTATCCCATGACATAAACCTGAGAAACTTTTTTTTTTTTTTTTTTTTTAGTTTAGGCCTGATCAGAACTGTGATAATATCAAAGTGGAATATTTTTGAAGAATTAGCATCCACTCTGTCTTTTGAAGAAACAGTCTTTCTTCTTCCAATCTGATCCTTGGCACAGGTTTCTTATTGGAACAGTCTGATCTTTTAATTTAATTGCTTGACTTCTTAGAAATACTGTCCATTTCTAGATTTCCTGCAGTGTCTGAAAGGATTAGTAATAGGCAGGTGCTGATTTTGGGGTGTGCGTATGTGTAACCAAGAAAAAACTTACCTATTGGAGGATCTCTTCCTTTAAAAAAGCTAGAACCTACTCCATGAGACCCTATTCTCTTTAGTCTGCTCTATCAAATCTCTGCACCGCACAATCAGCTAGTTAACATCATGGTCCTGACCCAAAGTGGGTAAGTTTTCTTTTGACTTAGGCTTTGGAGTAGGCCTTTAAAACTTTTACCACTATCTTATGTTGGTGTATTTGGCAGTAACTTCCTTTGCTGAAATTAGTTGTTGTTTCCTACGAAGCAAGAGTGGTTATATTGCAATGGGGCTGGCTACACACATGCTTCTTTTTACTTTGATTTAACAGAAAGGACAGAGTTGAGAGTCTATTAGATTCATTAGTTTAAAGTAGATGGCGGGGGGCAGCATGACTCAGTTTTGAAAAATTATTTGGATGGGGTCTGAGAACAGGTAAAACGAGATTCCGTTTAATTTTGCAGGTATGAATCTAGCACAGGACTGATGCAAGATAGTAGCATAAGTGCAAACTCTTTCTTTTAATTTAACCCTCTAATTGGGTTAACTGTGAAGTTCATCTAAAATATTTCTGTGCATTTCTTATTTCAGGTGACAAACGAGTATTTAAACAAATGAAGCAGTTGGGCTCTTTCTGTCTGGAGCCTTCCTAGATGAGGATTACAAAGGGTTTTATTTTTTTTCAGTACAGGTTCAAAGTCTTGACTACCACAGTGACTAGAGAGAGTACTCTGACCTGGTGCAGTGCCAACACACTAGGCCAGCTAAGCTAGCCAGACATCTCTGCTGTGGCCTCTAATCAGTCACCCAGGGTGAAGGGGGTCAGGGGTGATTTCAGTGTTGTCTGCGTCTGTAAATAACTAATTATTCAGCCCAACAAAGTCCTTGCAACAGTCTTCATTCATAGCTCACAGCCTCTTGCCACAAACAGCTAAACTTGTGTTTTTATTCTGTCTGGTATAATCGATGAGCAAGTTTTTACAGGATCTTGTGAGGGCCTTGTTCATTCAGCATTTGGAGTCCTTTGTACAGGTAATAGTTTGCTATGAATGCTGAGCTCTGGAAAACTATGGAGCCGTTTCAGACCTGGAAGGACTTCTCGTATATTGATACAGGGTTGGGAACCTTTGGCTAGAGATGCCTCTGTGCTTCTGTTTTGCTTCAACCTTCCACGATAATGTAGATGCATATAACAGCTGCAGGGGTTCAGAGCTGGTCACCTTGAGTAAGGGGCTGGTTGAAGGTCGCCTTTAGTACAGTGAAGTATCTGATAGCTTTAATAATAAACGGGTTCTCTTGGTATGGCAATGAGAATATTCCCTCATCTTTTTCTTTTTTTTTAGAGCTGGAAAGCACAAGTTTTACAACCATTTAAAGACATTTAAAATTGTAAGTCTATTACATGTGAGAAGTTCTGTCCTCAGAAAGAAATCCACTGTTTTCACATCCTTTAGTTTAATAAACCAAATGCAGATGGCTGAACCTAGAATTTTCTCCATTCCACCCCCAAACTCTCTCTCTTTGACTAGTATATATGATATTCTATATTGCTGTGATTATATATAATTTTTCGAGAATGTTTTGTGTTTTTCATTGACGTGTCAATGGCAGCACTGGAACTGTTGTACTATCCTTACTGAAAAAAATCTGTAATACTGGCTCAGGTTTTTTACATGCTGTATTTTTTTTTTTTTTTTTTAACTGGACATTTCAGAAATAAGTCTACAAAAACAAGCACGGGTCTACTACCAGCTTTTTATCAAGCTAATTAATCTTTACCCGTGGCCATTCAATTCCTGATATTTCACTTTGATATAATCAAACGAAAAGTCAGGTGTGTGTCACCCAGCTTCAATTGTGTCTTTGCAACACCAAAAAGTGTTTTATACAGAGAGACTCTTTTCTGCATAAAATCCAAGTGGAGAAAAAGCACAGGTAGTTCTTACTTCTAAAAGGCTAAGAATTATCTGCACCTTCTCTTCTCCAGGATTTTACATGGAGATGGCTATCTCAGGTTACTTATGACTGTATCTTTACTCAAAAAAGGTTGTGCTTTCACAGAGATAAGTCACCCTTGCCCTGCTGTGTGTACGTACCAGTGGGGTCTTAGAGCAGTGTTTTATTTTAGTCCCATGAAATGACGACTTATTCTTCGTATTTTATTGCTGTCATTCAATGTTGATTCAAAAAGGGGATAGAGAAGGAAACAGGATCAGACATACAGAGTCAAGCTGCTTTTCCTTCTGGGTGAACACCTGTACAGTACTTCACATCCTGCTACTACAAGGTGGGTCAGACTCCTGTGGCATGCATTGAAACAGAGGCACCTGAAATCATTTATAATGCATAGCAGTGACATGATACAGTGAACTCTTTCTTAATGGGGCATATCCAGAAGAGGATATTTGACACAATATGACTTGTTACTCTGTGTCATGGAGGTGTTAGTTACCACCAGAATGAGTCTTTCTGTTTGTTTCGGGTTTTGTAGGAAGTTCTCAGATACTAATACATTTTGGGGGATAATGTACCATGGCGGCGGGGAACGACATAGCTATGTATTTTTAAGCCAAGGCATTTTAAGAGTTGGGACTGAAGTTGCATGTGAAATTTTGCAACATTGACTTGGGTTTAGCTGAATTCTTGATGCATTCTGTGGAAATGTAAACTTCCACAATGGTTCCCTTATTTTTATTTTGCTATTGCTCTCCAAAGGTACAAAAACTCAAATATCTTAGGGGCTGGCAGCTGGCTGCATAAATTCAAATCCAGAATCAGTTGTAAACCTAAATTAGAAATGGAATTTATAAATGAGATGACTTTTCTAATAGAAGTGTA